CAGTTTTTTGTTTGTACTTCAGTGTATCTGTTGTTCGTGTCTCCATAACAAAAACTTTAAAAAACTCTTGGGTTCTACTTTATTTCTTGCCCATGTGTTCCTTTCATGTATTCTGTAACAATAGTTAATGTAAAATGGTTTGTATCAACAGGAATGTTAACTGATAAAAATGGATAAACCTTATATATGAATTAAAAGATGCACAAAATAAATGGCTGCTGCAATTTGGAAATAATTTGTAGGTTTTTGAGTATGATTACTCTGAAGCGGTCACATTTAATTTAGGTAGATGACAAATCACCATCTTAGGATAGGGTTGCAACTTGAACTAATTAATAGCATTTTTATAGATCTGAATTACCCAAGGGATTGTTGGCTTTTTTTTTCTCCCAATAAGGAAACAATTTAACAAATAAGTTGGGTTATTTTAACCTGTGTTTCAAAAAAACTAAAATGAGCACAACCATTGTCTAAGAGATTACCGTTTCAGTGAAAATAAGGTATTTTAATGAACATTTTTCTTGATGGAAGTTAAGGTTCTCTCAAACATTTGCAACACCCTGTGCAGTAGTCATTCTAAATAATAGACTTCTTAAGGACCTACAGTCATTGCATGTGGATGAACTATGCCATGGATAACTTCTGATATTTAACAGTTGCATGAATTTGGTAATAGTGTAAATGAAGATCTTCTAATGTTATCTATGGCATTATGCAGAGGATTTTATTCTGTTTGCTCAAGCATCCCTAGGAAGGTAGTACTATTGCCATATTCAATTGAGAAAAGTAAGCTAATAGTAATTTTCCAAAGGTCACCATATGTTGCAAAGCTGGAGTTGGAACTTCTGGAGTTTGCTCTTAACTCCTTTGTATATGTGAAACCATAGTACTAGAAATTGGGGGATTGGGAACTGTTCTTAAACTATCCAAGAGATCTGACCCCGTCTTTCCTTGATTCCTGCCAAACTATGCACACAGACGTGCATACTATCGTGAAAATACAGCCTTGTGGATCTTTCCTGTATTTGTTCACAAGACCAATTTTAAATGGATTGTA